GTCATCATATTATACGTGTTGGGACACACACAAAACCGAATACATTCAATATCCAATTGTCAGAATATTCTGTACTGTTTCTGGTCCCTCTATTGTTGCCTGCGTGTTGGTTGGAGCTTAAGGGCAACCAACATGACTTGCCATTTGGTGGTCCTGTCATTTTGAGACAAGGCCCTAGCACCCTCCAAGGGTTGTCAGTTGGTACCCAACATGGCTCACACATTCGAAGGCCGTCTTGGTTTCCCAAAACACTCGACTATGTGAATGCTGTGAGCTCAAAATTAGGGGACGATTGCTCCATGCACACAGGCAGTTGGTTTCCTTTTGGGGCTATTTTGAGACACACCCATGTCTATCTCACTTGCTCAAAGCTGCCCGGGTTTGACGTTTTAGTGGTCCAACATTCTAGTCATGGTCGATCCTAACCTTTTTTTTATGGGGTCCTTAGCAACCAAGCTGTGGCAACCGTAGGTGCGGGGGATTCATTAACCTGATATTATCAGTTGCATGTCGAGATTGCTACTGTATCGCTTCTTTATTCCGATCGGCCCCCAAAAATGTGGCATGGGAGGTCCATGGGGGCGATCCACGTATGCAGGGTATGCTCTTTTTTGGTGATCCCCTTGTGAACTATCTGAATGTGCAAAGTATGCCCTGTGTTAGGCCCACTAAGAATAAGATCCCCAAGTGCCTCAAAACTGGATTTGTGGTAATTGCCAACGCCCAAAACGTGTTGTGAGTTTTCCTGTATTGAAGTTGGCTGGTGAGTGTGTGATAGGTCAGACCTGTTAAACCATGTTCCATATAATACATATATATGAGCTATAGCTATATTTCGAAACCATTTTTCTAATTTCTTGATCCCAGGCCAGGAGGGAACACCGCATCCGCAGGCCAGGCCTGCTCGTTGTGTCACAGCCTGCGGGTCGGCCGAGGGCTTTAGACTTTTCTAGGGCCCCTCGCACAAAGTTGCTTGAACTGGTACCCTAGATTCAGACCACCAGAAACAACATTTATTGATCCATCGTCTTTTTCCGGTGGCCATTTCTTCAAGAACATGAGCTCTCAAAGGGACTAACTATCCTAGGGTTGTGGCTGATTCGAGCTTGTGGGCCAGGCGCCGACATGCGCGAAGGCGACCATGTACAAGGTCTTGCGGGAGGTGGTGGAGACAAAAAGCTCCGGGAAGAAGGGCGTTGAGATGGTAGCTGGGCTGTCTATAGGGTTTGTTTGGGTCTGTGAACATGGGAATGGGCGGTGACAATGATCCATATATATATATATACAATTATATAATGTTGGACCCTCTTTACACGACCCCCCTCCCCCCCCCTCCCTGAACAGTGGAGCCAGTCTGCTGGACCTCTTTAGAGAAATTCCTGGGGGTCTGGGAGGGACAGTACTTACTTTAGCGCGGCCAATTCTACTTTAGTATTGCCAAGGCCCCCTCTCAGATTCCCAGTACTTACTTTAGCATTGCCAATTCTACTTTAGTATTGCCAAGGCCCCCTCTCATATTCCCAGTACTTACTTTAGCATTGCCAATTCTACTTTAGTATTGCCAAGGCCCCCTCTCAGATTCCCAGTACTTACTTTAGCATTGCCAATTTCTAATTTAGCGAAGAGTTTTTTCAGCAACCCCCAAACCCAGTTGGACACTAAAGAGGACCCCAAAACAGTCAGACTAAAGAGGATCAGGGGCTCTTGTGGGCAACCCGCTTTGTGTGATTGATTGGCCTCACTTTTTTGTAAAGAAGTTATCTTAAATTTGATGGTTTGGGGACCACTTCAAAAAATATGTCCGGATTTGTTTGCCCGCTTTGTTTGCCTGACTTTTTTGGCCAGTTGTTTCTTGCCCGGATTTTTTCCGGCATGTTTCCCCGCAAAAACAATTGCCACTATTGAGGACCCCAAAGACAGTCACAAGATCCTGAATTGCGAAAACAATTTGCCACAATAGAGGATACTTCTAATAAAGGAGGTGTAACATTATATATAGGTGCTATTGTTCGAACCAACCGGTCAATTGCTTTAACTGGTCACATCGCCTCAGGCGTCTATCGGGGGCGCTGTGCGAGATGACAAGGCCAAGAGCGTGGTGGCTAAGCAGCTGCAGGACTTCACTGTTGGAATGGCATGCTGGACCTCAAGACTGGTCAGATCTCTACCAAGCGCCTTGCTGGATCGACTTGCCACTATATCATGGGATTCATAACCGTCGTTGCCCATATTTCTACAGATACCTTCCCCCATTCTTTCCAGGCATCCTTCTTTCTAGAAAACCTCCATGACACCCAGATAAAACGTTTGGTCTTTGAAAATAACGATGGTTGAACAGAATGAACCCTAGAATATTCTTTATCACATTCATGAAAACAAATCTGGACATGTGTTCCCAATTAGTCACGAATTTGTGTTTTTTAAGTTTACATGGCGTGCTTATAGCAATGCATCCTAGGAAGGTGAAGAAGCCGGACACGGCCGAGCAGAAGGCGCTCAAAGACATGAAGCAGCTCCATGGCAAGCCTCTTTCCTAGAGTTAGCTGTGCCTCTAATATGCGTGGTTCCGCTGGCAAACTGCTCCACTGATCAAGGTTCAAGAAGCTCGCTGGCGACATCCCCGCCCAGGTGACTGAGATTATGGATATGAAAATCCCCAACAGCAAGGAGTTAGCCCCACACTCAGTGGGTTTGTTTGCAAAATTCAAGGGTCGTCAACCGCACCACTACATGTGCCTCCAACCCGGTCCTGGCATGACACACACCTATAGGGACTATGCAACTATATCGCTGATCGGGCAATCCAAGGTTGCTGCCTTGAAGGAGGACATTCCCAAGGCTGAGGCAGCTGTGACTAGGCTTCTGCCGTTTGTCAGCCACAAGGCTGATGATGTTGATGCTGAAATGTTTCAAGCCGTTGTGGCTGACGAAAAGCAGCTTGTCAGCGCGGTGGAAACAAATGTGAAAGACGCTAAGCGCCGGATCAGCCTTCATAAGGGGCCTTCCAAAAAGAAGAAGGCTGCTGATCTCGAGTGATAATTAATGTAGTTTTTGTTCCAGTGCTCTGGCCACTGGAATTTGGCTGTTCAATTGATCTTGTCATAGGAAGTTAGACATGTGATTAACTGAATAACGGATCCCATGCTAGGGGCGGTCAACTCAAACCTTGATAGTCACAAATCAAGTGGTGCTGTTGGACAGCCTTCTGGGAAGCCAAAGCCTTATAGGTGTCATGCACTGCGATTTCCTGGCAGTCTGAGTGCTGGAACTTGTGCCCTGCCCCTGGTCACTTAAACTGTTATTATAACGTTTGATCTTGGGACATCCCATCCAAGTTGACCCCTTCAATCTTGATGCAGCCGGAAATCTTTGACATTTGTATAGTCCTATCACCAGTGGTGTTCCAAAGCACTCAGGATGCTAGTTCTGGGGTTTGGCTTGCCTGCGCAAGCATTTTGATGGCAGTGACAACATTGCCACCATCGTCCACTATGCACAAGTCGCTATATGTAGGAATGATACATTACCAATAGCAACCGTGTAGTGAAAACGGACACCTGCACCCCGCAGTCCAGTTTGGAGAGCGAGCCTTGAAATTGAAGCACGTCAGCAAGTGCACCTGGCACGAATGATTTTGTGTGTGTGTGCTGATCAAGGCGTGGGATTAATTAGTCGAGGTTTTCGAGGTTGTGTTGGATGACTCTAATAGCAACTCAAGCATGCATACATGAACATACACAGGATAGACCCTGGAGACAACCTGAATAGTGTTGAACAGTAGCATGCATGTGTTACATGTGAAAGCACTGCCCTATGGAAGCTCGCAGGGTCCACATCTGGGATCATGGATGTGGTGGAGGAATTTCTGGAGCTTGGCCGGAATGTGCACTTGGCTGCATTTGGGGGTGTGCGTTGCACCATGTACACCACACACAAAAAACCCGGACACACACACACAACCAGACACGGACGCACACACATACACATGCACACATCCATATACACACACACGTGCGCATGCATGCACAGAGAGAGAGAGAGAGCCAGTGCCTGCAATCACACACACACATGCACACATGCACACACACACATGTGTGTGCACAGAACACGCGATTTGAACACAACACATGCCATCACCCTGAAGTTCCCTTGTGTGAACCATTTTGGGCACCAATTGACAAACTTTGGAGGGTGGTCGTTGATCATGGTGGCCGCAAAACCAACTCTGTTCTTGGGTAAACAAAGGGGCCCCCCTTAGCAAATGGTCATGCTATCCACTTCCAAAGCCTAGAGGTGAGTGTCGTGACCATCATGAAGATGCTGGACATTATCAAGCGGCGATTTCCCACGAAGTATGCACCGAAACTTTGACTGTGAATATAGCGCTGGTAGATACATACAATAACTTGCTTGCTCCTATCAACTGGGGTTCGAAAGCATGTGCGTAATAGCTTGGAAATTTAAGCGACACACATGCATGCATGCACATATATATATATATGTCTACATAGGGATCGTCCCAACAAATCCAGTGTGCTTGCACGGCTGATCCGGCTGAGGAGGAATATGCAATCACTCCTGAGCCACTTTGACAAGGACAAGACAAAGAACATCGGAAGAACGTTTTGGAGGTGGCTGGACAAGCAGCCGTGGCGTCGAATGCTGCCAGCTGTCCATCAGACATTTGTCTGCAACTATAATGCGCGCGCATGCGCACAAACATGAGTGGAGCATGGTTGTGTGCTCAGGGTGGATGTGCCATTGGTGCCTTGGCGGTTCAAATATGAGTGTGTGTTGTCCCTAAGATTCCTCTAAGCTGGTTGCAACTCAGGGTGACCCGGGTCTGCTTGACGAATTCTTCATGGGCAAGTGGGACATGATGCTTCCAAGCAATGTGCCCGCAGCCTATGTTTGCTGCACACGCTTCACCTTTGGTATGTTGAGCATGTGCACGGGTCAGGTTTTCCAGCCTTTATCATTACCATCCCAAACTATTTGAGATGCGCTTGCTTGGCCCTCCGGGTGTTTCTTGAATGCACACAGTACAGCTGTGGCCGTAAAAATTGCCAGCATTTGTCCAACGAGATGCTAGGCCCTTCAGGACTTCTGGGCCGCCAATCATGATGCACCGTGGCTGCTGGCTCATCCATATCGGTCTCAGCTGGACCTAAATCGAACCATACCCATATTCATCCACGGGGACGATGCGGAGTCTCACCGCCGTCGCAGCTTTATGGTGGTGTCGTGGGGGTCCCTTTTGGTATCTGGCTGCAGCCCGTTTGACTCCAATATGCTGGTGTTTGCAGGAGACAATGCACAGTGCCTCCACGAGACATACAACGTGCTCAACTGCTGGTTGTGCTGGAGTTTGACTGAATTGTTGTTGGGCACATTTCTCGACGTGGACCCTTTTGGATCCCCGATTCAGCGTGCTGGACCTGGTGGCCGCCAGGTGGCGGGTGGCTGGAAGGCGGTGCTGGCCTGCCACAAGGGGGATGAGGCCTATCTCCAGAAGGCCTACAACATGGTCACTACCTGGAACAGTGAGTCGGTGTGCTGGCGATGCGGGGCGTCAAAGGGTGCAAACACTGAGCTAGTGTATACCACGCATGGTCCCAACGCGCCTCATCGAGAAACGCCGCATGGCATGCATTCAATTCAAAAATACGGAGAGCTCGATCCAATAATTGCTGATGCGCACTGCAAGTGCATGCTCCATGTTCTACTACATTGGATTCCGAAGGCTGCTGGACACTGCGGCCTTCATCGAGCAGGTTTGCCGTGAAAACCCCTTTGTAAGATTACCAGGGTTCCACATTGACCTGCTGCAGAATGATTGGCTGCATTGCGTCGACCTGGCTATCGTTCCGGAATGCGCCGGGTCAGTGCCCTGTTGCCATCGTACATGTGTGTAGCACGCAGCACTCAGCGCATGCCTCCACTCAATTGATGTTGTATTGTCTTAGGCTTTAATTGAGTTGGCCTCGACTGATGCTGTGTGGTCAGGAGTGTTGCTTGCAACTCATGAGCGAGTTTATTGTTGCACTATAATCAGTGCAGGATCTGATATGGATGCGCGGTTGCGCATTGCATACGTTCAGTTCAGAGGATACTGCAAGACCAACAAAGTTAGACGCTTGCAGAGCATACCGCATGCATGTTACCATTCATGCTGCTGGTGTTTGACTTGTCCGGTCATGAGGAAACAGAGGCCAAATTTTCAGCTTGCGCCTTTGGCTTTACTTTTGCTCCACAATACTGGACACGTAGTGTTCTTGGCCTAGGAAACACATCGTGGGTGATAAGACCAAGCGTGGTTTGCGTCGCTATCCCTCGTTGGCCCAGAAGCACTTGAATGCATCGGACCAGTGCTCAGCTCGAGGCATGGCAGTGGAACACACATGCACACACGCGCTGAGCTTGATCAGGAATCTGTGGTGTTGGCCAAGTTCCTCATGGACGTTTGCTTGAAAGTAGCTGCTAAAGACCCGAGTGACCACCATGCTGCGTTTCTCGGATATCGAACTGTTTTTTAGTGCATGGTGGTTCAACTATCAAACATCATTCCAGGCTCCGAGCTTCTCTTTTCGTCAACCTAGTGGAGATGCGACGGGCGCTGAAGTCTGCGAAGAATGGCATCCTCCCCCCCAGCGAAGTGGAGGCCTTGCAGCGTGCCAACTACTTGTTTCACTGCGCCTTCAACGGTTCCATGCCTGATTTGTATGCGTGTGTACATTGTGTTCTGCAAGCATCGGTAGTTGTGTTCAGCCATCGGTAGCGAGGTTTATCCAGTGATGCGATTCAGGAAGAACGACTTGTATACAAAGTGCGGCCAAAATACCATAAGCCCCACAGTGTGCATCATTGGGCGCAGTCCTGCGTTTTTTCCAGGCATTCGTGGTTCCACTGAGGACTGATCATATGTGCTATGATCAGGCACCGCGCATGTCGCCTTTGGCGACTGCCACATATATGGACGAGGATTATGTCCCTTGGTCTGATGTACAGCTCTGATTTGTGCGCTGCATGCAGCATACCTTGTTCCCTGCAGCAGTGTCGGTTCTTAGCTCAGGTTGGCAAGATCAAGCGGTTATCAATGCTGAGTCACCCAATAAAGTTGGGCCGTCAGGTTATGCTTAGGTGGGCTGCATTTTGCAGCGTCAGGTGGCTGAGCCAACTTGAGAATGCTTTGCGCTGATCCTCCAGCATCACCAGTATGTAGACATGTATGCAAGAATTATATATAAGTTAAATGATTCACGTACCATGTCTGGATGTTGGATGATGGAAGTGATGAATTAAACCGCTTGAATTGGGGTGCTTGCTAAACAGGCCAGGTGCGCGGTCCAAAAAGGCCGCCCGGCAGCTGCAGCAGCCGCAGCAGCAGCTTTTTGGGGAGACAGGGGTAGTTCTGGGTGGATGCAAAGGTTGATAGCTGGATGTGGTACCCTATTATATGCAAACCACATGCCAAATCCAGCCAACAACGTTTCTTCCATCCAGAATAGGGCATGGAAGATACGTGTATATACATTGATTTGACCCTAGCTTGATTTGCTAAGTGCCCTTGTTTGACCCTAACCCAAAAGTGCCCATCAAATAGAGGGCACTTACGAAAGGTACGAATAGACAGCCCTCGGAGGGTGCTGGTATATTAATTTAATAAATAAAAATAAGACACATATATTTATTAAACATATAATTAAATAAATATAAAAACAAATAAATAAATAACTAAATAGATGAATAAACAAATACACAATAAGTAAATACAACATACAACTAACAAAAATAAACACAGAAAGCATAACGTAAAAAACACAAAACGAAAGAAACACATAAAGACAGAATAAATACAAAAAAAGAAAGCCATAAAGAAAAACGGAACAGTATAAAGAAGAGAAAACCAATAAACAAGAGAGAAGAACATAGCTATAATTTTTATGCTGTAGAAACTTCCGACCACCGGCTGGGCCGGTTCTAATTAAGCAACCACTAGCAATCAATAATAAGGAATTGCGCAAACCAATCAGAAGACTGTCCGCAATCAAGGGCCAATAAACAACCGGGTGTGCTGCCCTCAAGTCAAATTCCTATGTGAAACGTTCGGTGCTATATATGCAACAACATGGAGACATCTGCACAATGAGTCAGAAGATGCCACAACAAAGGAATCTGTATCCAAGGATGTATAGTTATAATACATATATATATATAAAACACATACTATTATATGTACATATTGGGACACTTGGCTGTAAATTATGTCAGTTGTAACCAATTGCATTGTAGCTAGCAAATGTATTCCAGCCCAAACCCTTGTTTGGCATTGGTTGTTGTCCTTTTGGTGGGGAGTGGTCACAATGTCACAATAGTCTACCCATATGAACTCCTGGATGATCTCCTCCAAAGCAAGAAGGAATCTTGTCAGGCTCAAGATGCTCCAGCAACTTCTCTCCTCAGCTTTCATCTGCCTTCCCGCTCGCAGGTGTGTGACTTTGCAGGACATATGTCGCCAGGACGCGTGTGCCGCTTGCATCCACGATCTCAACCTTGCGTTGGGTAACTGGGTGCAGCAGCTGTTTGAGAATCGGCCACAAGAGGCGGGCGAAAGACCAAGCCTTGGTGTGGCAAAGCAACTCTGCAGTCAAGCCAAGCCTCATAATGGTTTGCAGGATGCTTCGGGCCGATCAACGCGCATTTTCCTTCAGCAATAAGGTATTCATAGGTTGGGGCAAAAACGGCTTTGCAAAGGGCCCCTGTATTGACTGGATTCGCCAAGATGCGGCGTTCAGAACCAGCACTCGGTCCAAGGTCTCCGGATACAGCAGGACCGTCTGTTTGACAGCCACGGCCAGGAAGTCCCGAGCAAAGGAAATGTGGCCCAAGCCCATGCCCCACAAATCAACCATCCTGGCTGCGGGATTTCTTTTGAATTTTCCATTGGAGAAGCAGATTCTGAATAGGGTGCCTGAGAAAATTCACAATTTACCCATCCCTCTAGCATAAATTGCATATTCTGGGCTGACCACTTCCAGAAAAGGAGGAAACACACCACCTCGCGCACTGTTTCGGCCCAGGCGCAGCAACACACGGTCAGTAAGATGGCCAATGCGCCGACTCTCCTGTGGCACCGTGCGCTGGAAGAGGCACTCTTCACATCTGAGGAAGCAAAGCACCGCAGCGTTGACCTCATCACGCTTGCAAATAGGCAGCACGTCTAGTAACAACGCACGGGAACTGCAAAACCAACCAAGCAGTCGTATCCATTCTTTTTTGTGCAAGCAGGCGGCGTCGCCGCGGGAGTATTCTTTGCCAGCCGCCAGAAAGTCCCGGAAGCGAGCAGGATCAATGCCGCCGAAGCGGATGAGCATGACAGGCCTGGGCCACTCTCTCCATGGCCATGGGGTCAAAATCCCGTACACTCAGTGAACATCCCAATCCCCACTAAAATAGACTAAAATTGGTGGTGCACCTACCAACCAAAATGGTACCCTTGGTTTTGACCCACAGCCCTATTGACGTCCGACAAAGCCCCATCCCCTGGCTCCTCCCCCAAGCAAGCGTCTGCCCTCGCCGGCCAAGTCCATGATAGGTCTGGGGTACAGTTTTGATGAAGGACTCCCAGTACTCCTCCGGAAAGCCAGGGGAGCTTCCCAGGATGGAGTCAAGGCCCAACCTAGGCTGGTTGCGTTTCAAGGCTTCAATCGTCACAGTTCCGGGACCTCGCAACCGTGATAGGAAAGAACATGTTTTGCACACCATCTGCTTCTTCTTTTGCGTTAGGGCCGCTAGGGAGGTCAATGAAATGCGTCAATAGCTGAAATCCCGCATGCCAAGCAGCTGCTGGCGCTTCTGCACGCATTGCTCCAGAAGCTTCACAGCCTGAGGAGACACAAAGCCTGGCTTCACAGCACTCTGAGACTCCTGGCTCAGCAATCCTACGGTTTGCGAGCCCTCAGAATACAAATCTTCTGGCCTCTTGTGCGCAGGCAGCCCCTTTCAGGTCGTCCTGCTTTGCTTGCCAGCAGAAGCGCCTCAGATTCGGATGGCGCGAGGCTGATTCTTGGGACTGCCATCCACAACCCTTTTACCCTTTGGCAGAATCTGTTTCCAAGGTCACCCACCTGTACCATGCTGTAATTAGAAATCGGGCCACAAAAGCGAGAGCAAGCAACATCCCTGCAGCCAGAACGCCGAAGTGTCGCTGTGACATCGGCGTCAACTGCAATGATCTCCTGGTTTGGGAGATCAATTGATTGAATGCACATGGACGCGGCGCAGTGAATCAATCACAGAGAGAAAGCGAGAGAGGGGGAGAAAGAGGAGAGAGAGGGGGAGATAAAGAGACTCAGGTTCACCTTTCAGCAAATCAAGGGGGACCATTGATCTCATTCCATCCCATTTCGCATGGCATCGTGGGACAGTACCATACAGTACCTCATTCTGATCGCGACATTCGGGGGAAAGAAGCGGATAACAAAAATACAACAAGTGGAATTGTTTTGAGTTGTGCATGTGTTAGGTGCAATCCGACGAACGACCCTGCCCAACCTGCCCTTTACAGCCCGCCCGTGTGCCTTCAGCTGCTTGTCAAGCTCAGGCTTGGTGGCCACCATCTGCACAGTAATGGCCAGCTCATCCTGCGGGCCAACATCAAAAGCGAGCGTGCAGCAGGAAAATTGGCCAATCAAGGTATTGCCCCTCAAATGGCATCGGCTGAGTGCACCAACTCGGTGACTCGCTGCATGCGTGTCAGGCAAGCCAATTGATCAGAACAGCGACAATTGATGAGCCAACTGCAGCGCCAGCACGTAAGATCACATTACCCTACACCACACTGCAGGGCGAGAGAAAGAGTGAGATGACGCCCTTTTCGGGGTTGCTTGAACGACCACTCATGTTGCGGGTTTCCCTATTCGGAGACAAGCCCATATGAACAACTGTCACTTTTTGCTGTCCACTATTGACGTGGATGACATGGGTTGATGAGTGAGGGGGAACTCACCAATTTCCCATGTCAGTTTAGGCTACAATAGCATTGATCTTGGCAGGCACCCCTGAGGTAGTTTCCCTTCTTCCTTTTCAAACAAGCCAGAAGGGTGCTCAAGAAAAGCGATTGTGGATCCTATGCCTCATGTACTATCGGTATGGTTCCCTATACTCATCCCGGTTGATGTGTTCAAAGCACCTTTTGGGCCAATCAAGAGGGAGTTTCTTTGGGTGTTGTCAGGTTTCAAGGGCAAATGTGCGAACCCCGAGTGGAGAAGCGTTTTCGTCAACCATCACCTTGCGGGACTTTGGAGCTACAGAGCCAGTTCAGCGAGCCATGGGTCATGTTCCGCGGGGCCCGGTTGGGCTTGGTGTGACCCTGGGAGAGTTTTGCATAGCGAAGCACTTGCTTTAACGCGTTCTTTTCTGGACTTTCGCAGCATTACGTGGTCCGTGGTCCGTGGTCCACCCCCCCCTGCCTCAGACCCAAGCCGACGCAGGACTGAGACAACGACTAAATCGGTCCACCCCAGTAGCAAGCCAAGCTGGTTAGGCTCAACCCACGCGGAATCAAGACTCAGCGGGACTCAGCCCCAACACCAAAAAAGCAAACCCTCGATCTTGAACAAAGGCGGGCCTGGATCATACAACGAGCAACACACAAGCTTTGAGTGTGTGTGTCTCTTGCGTTTTTTTTCCTCCCCGAAAGCGGTGCTTGTGAAGCCCAGCTAAACTATGGTATTGGTTGATGCAACTAGATGTTCGCTTGAGCATTGCTTGATTGCTTGATTGCACTTTCTTTCGTTGATTGGCTGATGTGCCCTTGGCGCTTTTGCAAAGACCTCCAAGGCAGCCCCGTGTTCAGCATGGTGGTATGGGCACCGCAGAAAGTTGTTCAAACATTTGGTAAGATAGAGAAGGCCGTTGCCTCTTTACTATGAGCCCACTCTGATGATATTGATCCAGTAGCTGTTCATTATTTGTACGTGTAAGGCAGGCGTTGGCTCTCGGAGTGGTTGGGAATTGTTACATGTGGTGTGCGCTTGTTTACCCTCTTGACAAGCCCGATTCCCTCACTGGATGCCTGTGGCCGGCTGATTGACGCAGCATTTGAGAGTGCGCGTGAGCAACGTCATGCCCGCGGACCGCTGCGCGCGAACGAGCAGCGGGAGTTCTACTTTCATTTTGCCTTCAACGTTGAATGCTTGCACTTCTTTGCTCCATGGAAGCATCTTCTCAGGTAACCCCTACTTGGTGGTTTTGAACCCCTTGTGCTTGTCGAGGGAGGGAGAGGGCGAGAGAGAGCGAGAGAAAAAAACAAGCAGGTAACAAGTAATCACTCCCTGTCTCACACCATCGCCATTCTTGTCACCATGATCCGCTCCATCCGGATTGTGTTGCATGGCGTTGCACCAGGAGCGCCAAATGGTCCCGGCATGGGACAGCACGGCATTTCATTCTCTGCTTTGGGTGCCGATGGTCGGCTCAAGCATCGCCTCTCTCGGGCACTCGGGATGTTGAGACCATGACATGGCCCGTTCACCATGGACTACGCAGTAGCTGTGCAGACCACTTTGTGGTTCTGCATGCCTTGTGAATGAAAGCACCAAGAAGCCTGTGACTGGGACAAGGTTTTGCGTTTGCAGAGGGCCTCTTGCAATTGCATTGTTTCTCAAAATTGGCACTTCGTTGTTCAATGGTGCAGCGCGTATTGCTTGGCGTATCCTGTGAGTGTGCCCTTCATCTTGAGATTGTCGATCGTGCCATCCACTTCAGGCATGCGACATTCTTCCTCTTCTAGATTGGACGGAGTTGACCCGTCAACAGTCTTCATAGCCGGCCAGACAGAAGGCTCTTGATTGGCCATTGATATGTGCTGTGGATTTCGACACCCGCGGCCGCCTATCTAGACGATAAAACCATTGCCGCCAACTCTTCAGAAGTCACAGCTCTTGGCAATTGCACTGCGTCACTGCGCATTTTTCCGGCCCGGGACACCGCAAAACGAAAAGCACACCTAGCCAGACGACTATGGTCCCGAAAATCCCACCTCAGATGGCAGGTACTGCGGAAAGTGCTCATGGATCAAAGGGTCGGTTGCCAGCATTCAGCCCACAAGCGCCAGCGGCCTTCCCGACCTTTCAATGGCAATCAGAAATGCAACACCAAAGCGACATGTCGCAACGTGCAATGACCCAGCTTTTGCCCACGGCCCACCTTTGACCCGGCCAGGATGCTGCCATGTGCCGGGCTACAGTAGTGATGGTCGCGTGCATTCAAGTTCAATGCTGGGCACTCAATGCAACGCGTGAAGCTTGTGATGCGTGCCTGTGCTTGTGAGCAGGCGCAAGCTAACACGAAGCTCTCAAACTCAACCCCTGCCTCGCACATGCTGAGACTGTGTCGAAAGGGGCGGCTTTCGGCACGAAACTGCTCCCAACACCACTGATCTGGAAAGGCTAGGTGGTGCCCTGAGTGCCGTTCAGGGCACTGGCTTGGGAATATGTAAATGGCTGCTTGTAGAATCATGAGCGTACAACCTTCTGGCCACAAGGGATTCACGCTAAAGGCGACTTTCCAGCAGCCCCGAAAAGAGGCCCAAAGCCACAAGAACAAACTGCGCGCAGGTGTGTCCACTGCCACATTGCTACTGCCAGGATTTGTTGGTGTCAACAATGCCCTGCTTTGCTTACGGGAAACTCGGCCAAGCCAAGAGGTTTGTTCTGCTCTTTGTCAGCTAGGTGGTCCTGATTTGGGTATGGGTCAAAATGAAACCAACAGGGGTTGGCAGGTTTTAGTCCATGTTTGCATTCCATTTTGGGTACCTATTTTTGACCCACAGCCATTTGCCTCCTTAAGCCCTGCTCCAACACCTCCAAGAGCGGATCCTGGCTCTGCCTGCCGCGCTACTTTTTTCCAATTGCCGGGGAGCGGAGCGGAGCTCGCGATTCGGCCTCAGCGACTTGTAGTCCGCGGAGGGCCTGGCTCTTTCCACGGGCCGTGAGGCACCCGAACTTCGGCTGGCCCACCACAAAAGGTGGTTTTTTTTTTGGCTTCCCTAGGCCAACCCCCAAAAGGGGAATGCCCCCCCCAAAAACAAACAAACAAACAAAACACACATTGAACTGATATTCTTCAAGTAGCTGTGAGCGCTTTTGGCCCGGCTTGCTAACAGCCCGGCCTTCTTTCATCTCTTCCAGCTGCTCCTGTGGGCCATGCGGCTGGGTGATGGTCCAAGCTGGGACTTGACTCAGTGACAGGCTAACTGGCAGTCTTGGGCAGGGCTGAACAGACTGGCCGGCTGGCTGGCTGGCTGCATGGGTGGATGGACGGACAAACGGATGGAGGGAGGGAGGGATTCATGGACGCACGGATTGATTCATGGACGCACGGATTGATTCATGGACGCACGGATTGATTTGGGAATCGGCTGGGTTGCCTAGACACATCAGATAATGCCTTTCCTCCTTCGACTGGTGCTTAGCTTGATTGATTGGATTGTGTTGATTGATTGTCTTGATGTGATTGTCTGATTGATCAGCTGCCAGGACTGGCCAATCAGCCAGCTCGCAAGCCGTCGGCTCCTGCTTGCCCTTCTTCGTCACGTAGCCCTGCAACGGCCTTACAGCACTCTCGCATGGGCGGACGGGCGGGCGGGCGGGCGGGGGCTTTGAAGTTTTGGGCCTCCCAGCTACTTTCCCTTCACTTGCTCCAAGTCTGTGCCAGAGCCTTGGCCGAAATGCACCGCGACAAAAGCTTGGCCCTCAATCATTGGTTGAGAGTGGGGGTTCAATATGTGGGTAACTTGTTGCACGGTGCTTGGCAAAGCTTCGCTGTTTAGCAATCTTGCAGGAGTGGCTGCTAGATGATGTTGGCGCTTTCCTCTTCTTTGCTCTTGGGGCCTTCGCCTGGATCATCGTATGAGTTCAGCTTATCAAGTTGAGGCAGGGTGCGCTGATCAAACGGCGGCTGATGAGCGCTGTGACTCCTGTTCCGGGCCAAGGCTTCGCCTTCTGGCCGGCTGAAACGTTGCACTGGGGGCAGTGACTTTCAGCCGCACCCCCGACTGGCATCGACCAGAGCGCGTTCGCTTCCAATCAATAGTCGTCTGAAACATATGAGGAATATTCGGAATACTCACTTTCAGAGGACTCGCTTCTGTCAGGAAAGCTGATTGTCTGGCTTGGTTCTCCCTCGCTGGTGTAGCAAATGCGGCATCTCCAGTTCCTCACGCTGATCTCATGCCCCCCACCTCCGCCCACGATGTACCGCAGCTCATAGGCACATCCTGGCCTTGCCAGACTCACCACCTCGTCTTCCGGCGAGAAGGTGAGGTCAGGAGGTTTGTGCCCATGAGGGTAGTCCTCGCTGCGGTAGGTGCCATACAAGTTCTTTTCGGCCACAACATCGTTTTCGGGACCCCGTAGCGTGAGCCAAATGCTGCTCTTGCAAGCGCCCAAGTCTTGGTCTCTGAAGAGCCCAACAGAAATCTCCACCTTGGAGATGGGGTGCAACAGCTTTGGCGAAGTCACAGCTGTTCTTAGCTCGTCGCTCTCGCAGTAGTCGATGACGGAACCCTTCAGCAGGATAGGCCCGGGCGCCTCAAGAAGCACCGTGATGCAGTCGCCTTCTTTGACGCAGGAGTCCAAAGTCTCGTCGTCCTCCAGTCAGAACTATGGTAACTATGGCTATGGGATCCTGGATGCCAATGGAAGGCATTCCAACAAGGTTGGGGAAAACGTCCGCAACTATATGTGGCACACAGGTGACAGGTCCTCCAGGATCTGCGTGTTGCAAATGCAGCGCAAGTTGTGCTCCCCAGGGGTCAAGTGCCAAAGGTCCTGGACCATCGCCTTGAGCACCCCCACGGTGTCGGTTTCCGCGACCTCCACGTCCGACCTTTTGGTCTCGCCCAGGTCGCTGACGGTCAGCAACATGGCGATGGCTCGGATGGGGCTATTGGGGCGCGAGTGCGCGCCCAAACTTTCAAACCCCACAAGGCATGCAAAAACCTAGAGAGTATGTACTTCTGCCAACATGGGCAGCGTACACCCATCTCGGCAGCATGGTAACAAATGCCGCGCAGCTTCCTGAAGAAGTGCGCAAAGCCCATCACATCATGGGGTGATAAGACATAACTTTCCTGCAAAAGGATCACAGAACAGCAAACAGCACAGGCAATTGCGGATGGTGAATACAAGCGAGGAAGACCCAACCAACAAAGCATTCCCACTCCTGAAGCCTATCCTGGTTGAGTCTTAATGACCCCACCTTCTCACCATTTGCTTTTGCTCCCTGCTTCTTCGAGTTCGTGTCCTTTGTAGTCTTCCCAGTCTTGGCTGACTTCCGCTTTTCCTCTTTCTTCTCCTTCTTCTCCTTCTTCTCCTTCTTCTCCTTCTTCCCTGTCTTCTCCTTCTTCTCTTTCTTTCTGGCCGACACTTTGGTCTTCGCCTGCAGCACCACTGCATAACACTCACGCGATCATCATGAAGGTCAAAGTAGCATGAGGCAGGGGTCAATCCATGTCAATGCAGCCCTTGGTTTACTGAAGTGGCCTGACCCTTCCTTTAAAGGGGCACAAAGAGTTCGCTCGATTTTGATCTCCGTGGCAAGAGCTCTGTGAGCGTGGCTATGGCGGCTGCTTTGGGTGCACGCCCGGGGGTCGAGGCGCGCATGGCGCGCAGGGCGCGCAGGGCTGGGCGGCTCCAGCATTGCCGGGAGGCACACCGCTCCCGCGGCCACGCATTCAGCTGCAAGTAGGGGGCCAGCCCAAACGCACGTAGAACCCACGGCCTTGTAGACTTGAAGCTTTGCTTTCAGGCTCTACTTAGGGATCTTCCAAAAGTTTCTGCTGCATTCCTGACGATTGCCTTTCTGGCAAGCGTGAGGCCCAGAGAAAGCAAAATTGCGCAACCTGCAACGCAGCCGAGGCCAATCGCCATGGCCACGCAATGAACCTCATCATGCGGTTCAGGCAAGTGGCATTCAATGTCCAAAGACAATGCAAATTCGATGGGGCTTGGCCTGGTACTCATCATGAAAGGATGCTCAAAAAGGAACTTTCGTCTTGTGGGCACTAACTGAAGGTAGGGTCTGCGCAACGATAAAACGAAGAAATAATGAACGCGTGGGAGAAAACACGTGGGCGGGTGTCGCGCGAAATAAATCGCGAAAAATGGCACTCTGTGAGTGTTGGCTTTTGTGGCTGAAAGCTCCCCGGTCGCGATGCCTCGAAACGGGCATGGAATGGGTGCAGCATGCGAATCTCGGAAGGGGTGCGGAGCAGCCTCAGACCTGGAACCATTAGCACGGACGTGCGCATTCCGATATCAGTTTGCGTGAGCAAAGCACTTCGGCAACATGAGGTTTCGCCAGGTGCTGTGCAGATCTCGTGGAAGGCGCGGCACCTGCGGACTTCGTGACGGGCGCAACAGAGAGAGAAAGAGAGAAAGAGAGAAGCGGAGAGAAGCGGAGAGAAACAGAAAGACAAAGCAGAAAGAGATGGAGAAGGAAAAGGAACAGGAGAAGGAGAAGGGAAAGGAGAAGGAGAAGAAGAAGAAGGAGAAGAAGAAGGAGGAGAAAGAGAAAGAGAAGGAGAAGCAGAAACAGAGAGTGAGAGAGAAAGAGAGAAAACCGGCTTCACTGGTTTGCGCGCAGTTTTCCAATGTGCCAGAATCCAATGCGCCACAAATGCCACTGCATAGTGGAAGTTGTTGAAATAGGAAAGGCTAAGTCCCCAGCAAGGTTTGCAGCACCGGTGCTGCACACGTCATGAACAGCACCTTGGGCCAAAAGCTGCCATCACCCCAGGCAACTGAGTCTACGGGTCGTCGCGAGGCTGATTTTGTGCAAAGCGCTGAGGCAAAAGCTGCTGGCACCAACATGGTCGTCCAAACGTAGATCCCGGACCTGGGCCGATGTCCATATGGTGGACACAGCGGAAAGTTGGGAGCTAGTGGCTGAATGGGGCCTGTCTTAGGCAAAAGTCTTGACCAGGCCAATTACCTCACTGTTCGCCTGTGAACTATCGAGTCTGGGATGGGCTTTGTTTCGGAAGCTATTCCGCTTTGCAGCATGGCTAGAGGGACGCGCACAAAGGCACCAGGAGGCTCACACAAACATACAGGGCAAGCAACGGCATACGAAGCCACACAAAACCACACAAACAACAGAAACACGCCGAGAGATAGACGCTGTCGCACGCATATCACAGGAAGGCACGTGCATGCGCACATGGGCGCACAAAAACGACCACACAACGATGCAAACACAAAGGCAAACGCCCGATGACCCGCAGCGAGGCCCCACGCGCGCAGCACTGAGACAGCTGCTCCAGAGGTCCAGCCGAGGACTGCAGCCGCTCTAAGAGATGCCTGGCATGGAACGCGCGGCTTTAAACAAAGAAAAAAAGGAAGATGATTACTTCGCTTCGAGCAATCCCCACCCTCCACACTCACAAGCTTACGACCGTTACAACAAATTCCTCCGCATCCTAGAGACTTCGACTCCAAATTCCCATCGGCCCCTTCCCAATGATATTTTGCCGCGCAAGAAGGGCGAGCCTTATCCACCTGTCTGTGCGCCAAACTCCACTTGTCTGCGAGCCGATCTCGAGAACTCAAACATGGGTGCCGTTAACAATAGCCAAGCCCAAAAAGAAGCCCGACAGGGATTAAGCGAAGTTGCTGATTCACAACCCAAAGAAACACAAAAGCATCACCCTTTCCGAGCCTCAGGGTACACCCAAAACACGAAGACGCCAACATGAAATGTAAACCCAACTGTGCGCCGGGCGGGGTCTTAAGCAAAACCAGACTGGCGAGCTCCTCTGGCACGGGCACGCTACGGCCACGCCCACGGCACCACGGATACGGCCACGCTACGGCCACGGAATCAAATCTGCCCCAATAATCAAACCCAGCCACACCCCTCGCCCCTCCACAGCCCGCACCTTTCTTAGCCTTCCAACCCTCCAACCCTCCACCTCCAACCCTCCACCTCCAACCCTCCGACCCCCACCTCTCTTAGGCTTCCAACCCTCCAACCCTCTGCACTTTGCCGTGGGCTCGGACTATTGCCTTACTTACCTTGCCTTTGTTGGGGCGGGGGGTTTGGGCTGGAGCGCTGGAGCTGGAGGTGAAATGGAGGGGTGGAGGGTTGGAGGTAGGTGGAGGGTTGGAGGGTTGGAGGGTTAAAGGGTTGGAGGGTTGGAGGGTTGGAGGGTTGGAGAGGGAGCTCCGAAAACACGGGCACGTGCGGAGCTTCTTCGAGATTCCAGCCCCTGACCCTTCCCAGGCACACTTCCCTGGAGCTTCCTGACAGCCCCCGAAGAAGCCCACAAACGGCCGGTACTTCTCAGAGCTAGTTCCCGGAAGCTTCCCGCAGCGGCCCAAAAGCTACCATAGCTACCGGCAGTTTCTGCATCCCCCTCCAGCCACCCTCCAACCCTCCAACCCTCCAACTCTTTTCCAACCCTCCACCTCCAACCTCCGCATCCAACTCTCCAACCTTCCAACCTTCCAACCCTCCACCTCCGACCTCCGCCTCCAACCCTCCACCAACCCTCAGCCTTCCAATCCTCCAACCCTCCACCAACCCACCAACCCTCCAACCCTCAACCTTCCAGCCCCCAAAGCGGGGCTCCGAAGAGGTGCGGCGCAGGGTTGGAGGGCGGAGGTTTGGAGGTGTGGGGGAGGGTTGCAGGGTTGGATTGAAGGGTTGGAGGGCTGCGCGGGTTGGAGGTCGGGTTGGGGGCGTGGAGCTGAAGGGCACGGCGGCCACGGGCACGCTACGGCCACGGCCACAGAGCCACGGATACGGCCTCGGCACCCTACGCACGGGGATACGGATCATGGCCTGTTTATGCTCTGGCGGGATACTGGCGCGATCCACTGGCGAATGCTGGCGAGCTCCGGCTTGATACTGGCCGGATACTCGGCAGGATCCACCGGCAAGGGATACTCAGCGGGATACTTGGCGGGATCCACTGGCAAGCTGCTATGCAATCCTCAGCGGGATACTCGGCGGGATCCACTAACGGGCTGCTCTGGTGGGATACTCGGCGGGATCCACTGGCGAGCTACTCTGGCGGGATGCTTGGCGGGATCCACTGGAGAGCCACTCTGGGATACTCAGCGGGACACTCGGCGGGCCCACTGACGGGCTGCTCTGGTGGTATACTCAGCGGGATCCACTGGCGAGACGCTCTGGCGGGATACTCGGCGGGATCCACTGGCGAGCAGCTCTGGCGGGATACTGGGTGGGGGCGTGGTGTAGAAGCATCGCAAACGCTGATTCCAACATTAAATGTAACAACCCCTTCCTGTCGGGTGGGAGGGAGAAAAAAAAAACGGCGGATGCCTCGAATCCCTTTTTCCCCACCTCCGCGAGTCGGGGGACAGCCCCACCACATCAAGGAAATTGAGGTTCAGCAAGTAGCTCCCCAAGAGGAACTTGGCCGGCCATCTCCAGTGCCACAGCATCGCCACTGGCCGCATGGCACTGGCCAGCGACAGCGTTTGGATGGGGACAATGACCAGCCCCAGAAACCGAGCTAGTGCCTGAGAGCAAAAGGACTTGAACGGGTATCCTTCGATGGCCTCCTCCACTGGTATGAAAGCTGACAGGGCGCAAGCTGCAAAAAACACAAAGGCCGCCTTCAAAGGCGGACTTCTGAGCACCAGTTGCGCGCTTGATCTTTCAAAGTGTGAAAATCCCACGTAGAGTAAAGCGCTCATCACCACCTGACAAGGGGTGCTGGACTCTGAACACGAATGCGGGCATGCTTGTCAACAAGTATCTCGAGCCCGAGAGACTTTGAAACAGTCCAAGCCACTGGCAACTCCAGTACTTTCGATCGGGTTGAACCATCTCAGGGAGGTCACGCGTTTCTGTGAGCCTTGGGAGTTAGGAGGCAGGACTGGGAAGTTGGCCACCACTCCGTTGGCAGCAGGTATCGCCCAGAAGCCCCAAAGTCCACAAAGCAGGGCGGCATGAACACCAGGATGCACAGCATGCACAGCTGGGCCAGACCGACACCTGCCAGCGGGTCACCGGGTGAAACCAAAAAGGCAACGTGTCACCCCAACGCCCGCCTCCGGACCAATGCCCAGCCACCAGCGTGGCTTTGCCAAGAAGCAAGCTCAGCAAAAACCAGCGCTGCACAGTCTCAGCATGATAGACGATGCTGTCCAGTGGCGGGGAGAAGCAGCATGACAGCAGCATGGGAAACGCACCTCCCGCGAGAAAGGGTGCACAGGAAGTCTGCTTTGAATGTGAAGCAAAAGGTCCAGGCAGGCAATCCGCTATTAAACCAATTGGCACCACCTGATGCCTCGTGCAAGCGAGCGCTCGCTTCTTGATGCATTCTTCAACCCCCCACCCCCACCCCCAACCCGCCAGGATATCTGCGTGACCTAGAGCTGCTCAACAGTGTCGATTATGTCTGAAGGTCACAGGCACCCTTTGGCCTTTTGGGGGGGGTTGGCGGAAGACCCGTCCTGTATAGAAGTAGAGGCCAAGCATGGCAGAATCCCGTCTGGTAAACCAACGCTCTGATGTCTGTGCCGCAGCTAGCGCAAACACACCGTACGCCCAATCCTGGGTTGCCACGCGATATGACTGCAGGACCCAACTTGCCACAGGCGTGCTCTGCATTGTTACAGAATTCGGCTGCACCAGCCCACTTGCTGGAATCTGGTATGTGCGCGGCTCAATCAGGACACACCAGAACCAGTGAAAAAGAATCACATCCAGCATCCCAAGCACGCATAGATTGTCACAAATGACTTTCAATTCCATCTGTTGCTTGCTGAGTGCACGCTCAAAGCCTAAAGAATCCAGTTGTCTTATCACTTCTTCACCAACCTCGCCAGCAGCCACCCTGGCTTCTATGTCAGCGCGAGGTGTTAGGCCCACTGTCCATTCCCGCAAAGTTTTGCGGTCAACCTTTTCACTGGAGAGCCGGGGCAAGTTCCACACTTGTATGAGCCGTGCCGGGACCATATATCCGGGCAGTTGCCGAGCCAATTTCTCTTTCAAATCACCTTCGTCCATAGTGGCGCGTGTGACGAAGCCAACCTTAGCTGGATTCCGCTGCGCCAAGTGTTATTCGATCGCCTTCCTGTGCGGCCTTGCTTGCTTGCATTGAGGCCAAGTGGCCAACGTGTGATCAGCTGCTTGCACCACAGCCGTCTCTTTGCAAAATGAGGCCAAAATTGCCTCAATCTCCCCCAGTTCGATCCTCACACCATTGAGCTTCACCTGGCACATCCCACAAAAACAAACACCAGCGGAGCTTCTTTGTTGGGGGGTGCCCCAAAATTTGTGGCTTTGAAGGGAAACCACAGGAAAACCCCGGCAATATGGGGGGGCGGTCCCAGATTAAAAAAAATCAGACGTCCACGAGCTTCAGCCCCCTCACTTGTCGGAATCCCAGCCTGGGCATCCTTCCTTCCCCAAACTTCCAGCTCGCCTTCGGCGTTCCACGCGCCGAAATCGCCAGTTTGAAACCGAGTTCCGGCGTCCACCTGGCGAGGTGTAGCTCGAGCACACGGTCCCAAAAGCCACTGACGCGAAGCATCCACAAACCAATGCAGCGACACACCGCCCAGCCTCGTGAAAGAGTTGGGCTGTAAGCTCTGGCATGTTCAGGTAGCCTTGTGACATGATGCCGCTGAAGAAGATCTCGCCTTCCTGTTGAGGATCGCCCTCAGGGTGCGACAACAGCATGACTTGCGCCTCTGGCTGTGGGCGTCCGGCTGGAGCCACGGAGCTAGACGGCACACGAGTGCATACCCAGGTGGTCATAGCGGTTTCCGTCAAACCGTAGTAGTTCCGAAGAATGATGCCATTGTCCAAACAAGGCTTGCAAAGTGTACTGGGCAGTGGCTCTCCCACCGCTGCCACGTGGCTCAGGCTATGCTGCCCAAGGTAGTTTACAAAAGAGGAAAGGACGGACGGTACCGCTGTGAATGCGGTGATGCTGTGGAAATGGAGTAGGTGAGCCAAGTTGCGCAGCTGCCTTTGGGACCCCTCTGGTGATATGTACAACGTACCTCCCACGCAAAGAGGAGAGAATATTTCGTATTCAGCAGTCCGCCACTGATAAGGCGTCTTCCATAGCAGCCTTGAGTTGGCATTCGCATCGATGTCTTCAATGAAGCAGCGGACCGAATGCCAGAGGCACTTGTGGCTGCAAAGCACTCCCTTTGGCCGCCCTGTAGATCCAGAGGTGTAGATGACCATGCAAGTTTGCTCAGGGTTAGGGATTCGCCAGTCCTTTGGCGTGTCCATGAGCGAAGAACCTATGAGAAGGGCACATTGGAACTCGTTGCACTTCTCAACCGAGTCTGTGACCACTAAGTCTGCCTCAAAGCACAGCACCTTCTGACGAGCTGTCGGGGCATCCTTTGGTACAGGAGCATAAGCGCCACCTGCCTGCCAAATGCCAAAGATGGCCGCGACGGCCAGAAGCGAGCGGTCGGCTAGCAGTGCGACCAGCAAGTAGTCCCGAAAGGCAGCACGCTGCACACCCGTCTCAGCAATCTTTGATGCAATATCGTTGGCCCAAGCCATGAGCTCTGCATAGCTGAGACGCGCAACCTGAATGGCGAAACATGAAAAACATGAACACGCCATGCTTTCACTACACATCCGGTATCCGAAACAAGTCGCGCTTGCACTATGTTGCGCCTCCCCATCTTTGGAGAGCTGCACGGCAGCGATGGCATCTAGTGGCTGGCCTTTAATCTGGGCAGCCACGGAGCCTTTGACAGGCGTGACAAAGCAACACAGGCTGCGCACTCACATCTGTGGGTATGAAATTGCCTACCGGTTGTTGCATCAAGCTTCATTCTGAGTGCTGGCAGGTGGCTGTTGTAGACGCTGGCCCCATTCATCGGTCAAAAGACATTCGGCATCGGAAGCCGAGGCTCGTGGCTGCACGTCGGACAAGTATCTTCTTTGGTGAGGCAGTGGATGCAACTGACAGGCGAAACCAACGTATGCCAAAAACCTCCCGGCGTGACAGTGTGACAGCACGCGCATGTACATGCCCCTCGGCCCCTGGTTCAACGCCTGAGTCCCTTGATGACGTGACATCTGAAGGCTACAAAACTCTGGCCGCCCACCTGCTTCGCTTGTCGCCTTTGTGGGAGGTGCATGAAAACACGCAAACCATGCACGTCGCCGCGTGGCTTTGCCATTTTGGCCAAGTAGCTGTGGAGTCGAAGAGCTGCCGGGGCAACATGGCAGCATATGGTTTCGTCTCAAAAGTGGTTCTTTTTGGCTTCCCTTCAAACCATCCAAAAAGACTACAGTACCATCAACACAAAGACACACTCACATGAGCCACCCTGTTCACAAGTCAGCAGTTCACAAGTCGCCCGCTTCAGACCCATGGTTTTCCGCAAAGGACAGCATGCTCATTGTTCTTCTCTGGCTCAGGCCTCGAGCTTGCGCCACTCGCCTGACACAGCTCAAACCGGACAATCTAAACCGAGGAAAGCACAATCGCACCCATGGATCCCAAACAAGCATGACGCGACTGAGAAAACCGGAAACCTCTCTTGAAGGGCGGAAAGCTGTGGCAAGCCGGTTCAGCCCCATGATTGGCTCCCAACCCCCCACGCCAAGCATATGCCAAAGGTGCATTTTTGGACCCCCTTAGGGCGTTTGAGGGGCAAAGGCGCCCACTGCCCTTAGGAAACCTTCAGCCCAGCCTTGGAGCTCGAGCCTCGAGCAGAAAAAAAGGCACCCGGGGGTTCAGCTTCAAACTTCCAAACGTGGGTTTGCCTTTCGCCAGAAAGCCAACTGAGTTCAGAGGGTTGAGTCCAACAAAACTCCCACGACCAGCACTGACCCTTCGGACAAAGTGGCTGCCGAAAGCATATCACGTGCGAGTGTTCGTTTGGAGAATTTGAAGGCCCTTGAAAGGGGCTGGTACAGGGTTTCCTTTTTCTTTTTTGACCCGTGGGTCTACCTTGGGGTAGTCAAAAAACGGAACCCTGTGTTGGTATGCTCATTCTCTTTCAGGCCAGTTTTTGGTGGGCTGAGTTGTATGGATGGATTGAGGAGATTTACTCGGGAGGTATGCGAGGGAGTTTTTTTGGATGTATGGATGTAGTCGACCTGCGTGAATGCACAAATAAGAAATTGGGCGAACTGGGGGGCAAGATGGGCAACCGTTGAAAGGGCTGTAAGCATTGTAGGGCATGGTGCCGACACGCAACAACACTAAAGGGTTGTTGATGGATGCTGGTCAACAAGCCAGGTCAAAATGCATGGGCTGTTTTACCCGGGAAAAGATACATACACCTATGCATTTATCATATATATGTATGTATGTATACATGTATACACATGTACGTATGTACGTACGTACTTACGTACGTATGTATGTATGTATGTATGTATGTATGTATGTATGCATGCATGCATGTTGCATGCGTGCATGCATGCGTGCATGCATGGATATGTGTGTGTGCAGTCATTGGAAGGAAGAAACAAGGTAGGTGGTAATCAACCATGTGATTCGATGCCGCGCACCGCGCCCTTGTCTAGCCACATCCCCGCCGACGGCTTGGGCCACTGCTTGGGCCACTGGCCCTCCCCTCCTGCAGTCTCACAGCAGCCCCCGAAGCATTCGGCGATCCCAACTTCTGGGCGGTGGGTTTTCACACCTGAAGCGTTTCAGGGTGCAAGGCACTGTGTCACAGTGCAGCACCTAAGGCGCGATAAGCAAAAAGTACAATGCTTCAGCTCCCCGCGCACTGGCCAAGCCCCTATGATCTGATCATGGTGGTCGCCACCCGCCTACGCCACTGGAGCCTCAAGGCCCACACCAACCCCGTCCTTGGCTTTCAGAGCCTGTGCAGCAGCATAGGCCTGAGAGCTTGATCGCACTCACCGGGCGGCTCAAACAACTGCCTCAATTCCCCGTGATTGCAGTGAGCCGGGTCGTTTTCAAGTTTGGGAACTGAACAGGTAGGCCACGCCACCTCACATACGGGAGGGGGTAATCAAAATTAGGGGCTTTGTTTTCCAAATTCGGAAGCACGCAAAAGAGTCCAAGAAGGAAGCAGGCACATTTTGTCGAGAGTTTGCAGGTGGACCCGCCAGAAGCCACAACACTCCAAACTCATTTTCAGTGAATTTCATATCTCCCCCCTCCTTTCGGATCCTAACCAGCCACCCCCCCCACCCACACCAACGTCAACCAAACAGCTTGTCCAACCCTCCATGGCTGGCCCCGAAAACTCCGCCCGCCTTGGCCTCCGCCTGCGCCCGTGCCAACTCCGCCGCCTTCTGCGCCGCCACCTGCGCCGCCTGGGCGGCCGCAGCCTCCTGCAGGGCCGCCAGCTGCGCCTCGGTCGCAACGTCGCAACCCACGCCGCGAAGCAGCGCCGTCGCGGAGATTCGGGTTGAACTCCGTCGTTTCCTGATCGATTTATGTTCAAACTGTTGAAATTTCCTGGTGGTTTCTCTTTCTCTTTTTCTCTCTCTCTCTCTCTCTCTCTCGTTCTCTCTTTCTCTCTGTTGCTTCGCTTTCTGTCTCTTTTTGTCCCTTTCTATCTCTGTATCTCTCTTTTGTTCCTTCCTTCTTTCTTTCTTGCTTTCCTTCTTTCTGTCCTTCTTTCCTTCTTTCTGTCTTTCGCTCGTACGTCATTTCTCTCTTTTTCTCTTTCTCTCTCTCTCTCTCCCCGTCTTTCTCTCTCTCTCTGTCTGTCTCTCTTTCTCGATTCTCTGTCTGTCTCTTGCTCTCTCTTTCTCTCTTTCTCTCTTTCTCTCTTTCTCTCTTTCTCTCTTTCTCTCTTTCTCTCTTTCTCTCTTTCTCTCTTTCTCTCTTCCTCTCTTCCTCTCTTTCTCTCTTTCTCTCTTTCTCTCAAACTCTCTTTCTGTCTTTCTCTCTTTCTCTCATTCTCGCATTCTCGCATTCTCTCATTCTCTCATTCTCTCTCTCTGTCTCTGTCTGTCTGTCTCTCTCTCCCTCTCTGTCTGTTTGTCTCTCTCTCTCTCTCTGTCTGTCTGTCTATCTCGTACTCTCTCTTTCTTTCATTATTTCATTACTTCGCTATTTCAGTAGTTAATTTGCCCTTTATTTTGTTTCTTTGTCTGATTGTTTCTCTGTTTCTTTGTGTCTGTGTTTGTTTGCTTCTTTGTTTCGTTGCTTCTTTGTTTCTTTCTTTGTTTGAATTCCTTCATCCAGCATTAATTAATGTATTTATTTCTTCATTTATTTCCTTCTTTCTTGCTGTATTTCGTTCTCTTTTTCGCTCTTATGTTCTTTCTCTCTTTCTCTCTTTCTCTCTTGGTCTCTTTCCCTCTTTCTCTCTCTTTCTTTTTCTCTCTTTCTCGCTTGGTCTCTTTCCTTCTTTCTCTCTCTTTCGTTTTCTCTCTTTCTCTCATTGTCTCTCTCTCTCTCTCTCTCTGTCTCTCTTTCTCGCTCTCTCTCTCTCTCTTTCTCTGTTTCTTTATTTTGTTTCTCTGCCTGTCTCGTTCTCTCTTTTTACTGCATTTGTTCTTTCTTTCTTTCTTTTGATCTTTCTTTCTTTGCTTATCTCTTTCTTCCTTTCTTCCTTTCTTTATTTCTTTCTTTCTTTCATTCATTCATTCATTCATTCATTCAGTATTTACGTCTTTCTTCCCTTCTTTACTTCTTTCCTTCTTTCTTTCTTTCTTGAGTTCTTTCGTTCTCTTTTTCGCTCTGTGTCTCTCTCTCTCTCTTTCTCTCTTTCTGTCTGTCTCTTTTTTTCTTTCTCTCTTGCTCTCTGTCTCGCTTTCTCGCTCTCTCTCTCTCTCTCTCTCTCTCTTGCTCTCTTGCTTTCTTTCACGCTTTCTCCTTTTCTGTCTCCTGCTCTCTTGCTTTGTTTCTCTCTTTTTCTTTTTTTCACTCTCTCTCTCTCTCTGTCTCGCTTTCTCTCTCTCTCTCTCTTGCTCTCTTGCTCTCTTGCTCTCTTGCTCTCTTGCTCTCTTGCTCTCTTGCTCTCTTGCTCTCTTGCTCTCTTGCTCTCTTGCTCTCTTGCTCTCTTGCTCTCTTTCTCTATTTCTCTCTTTCTCTCTCTGTCTCTCTCTCTCTTTCTCTCTTTCTCTCTTTCTCTCTGTCTCTTTGTCTCTCTCTCTCTCTCTCTTGCTCTTTTGCTCTCGTTCGCTCTTTCTCTCTTTCATTTCTCTTTCATTTCTCTTTCATTTCTCTTTCTGTCTCTTTCTGTCTCTTTCTGTCTCTTTCTCTCTTTCTTTCCTTTTTTGTTTCTTTCTTTGCTTCTTACTTTATTTATTTGTGTCTTTCATTCTCTGTTTCTCTCTTTCTCTCTTTCTCTGTCTTGCTCTCTTTCTCCCATTCTCCCATTCTCTCTTCTTCTCTTTCTCTCTTTCTCTCTTGCTTTCTCTCTCTCTCTCGCTTTCTCTCTCTCTCTCTCGCTTTCTCTCCCTCTCTCTCTCTCTGTCTCCCTCTCTCTCTCTCTATCTTTCTCTCTCTCTCTCTCTCTCTGTCGCTTTCTCCATCTCTGAGTCCCTCTGGATGTGTCAGGCACTTGTGAGTGCAAACAAGCCTGTTTGTTGCCCCAAAGCCAGAGCCCATTCAGAGATCATGCACATCATGGTCTCCGAGTATTTTGTGAGCTCGAACAACTGGATCCTCAGCTTCCCCTTTTGCAGCTTCGAAAGTGGCATTTTTATTGGAAGCTGCTGGTTACCCCAGCTTTCCACGGGGGTCCCCAGTGAGCCCTGCAATGTAGCTGCTTTGGTGAAAAGCACCGACAACGCCGAACGCTTCAATAATCCATTGTTCAGTTGGTTCCGCATTTGGGACATTCCAAGAGCCGTGTCAGGTAATATTCGATTATGCTACGTGGAGGACACCTTGTTGAAATCGTGGATGACTGTTCCTCTTCGGCATCTGAGACTTTGCAAATAGCTGCCAGTTCCTTGGCAAGTTAGCGAAACAGTCACATTTGTCTCGCCAACATTAGATGTTGCTTCCAAATGTAGGACATGGGAGGTGGTTGGAAAAAAGATCGGTTAAGACAAATAATCATGAGAAAAGTAGCCAGATGCAAGAAAACGATGGCCTCAGTGATGGTCTGAGGGTCAGGACTTGTCAACACCACCGGGCTGAAGGCCCATCTGGGTAAGGCTTGCGCTTGAGCAGCTGATTGTCTCACCTCCTCCTCCTCCCGAATCTCAGCAAAGTGTGTCTTGGGTTCATTGCTGGTCTTCCAATCCACACACGCAGTTTGGCCTTGGAAACCCACGAAGCAGGGGCCCCTCTTCAGCGCGCGGATTGCTACCGTGGCAATGTCCCTCTCGCTCAGGCTGCAACGACCCACTTCCAGCCACTGCCTTCGTGGTCTTTTGGTGCAGTTTTACCACCCTAGGCAAAGCGCTGCGTGCAGGAGAGGCATGCTTGCGAGCCCCTATCAACCAACCAGCTCCAGCCAGCCAGCTCCAGCCAACAAGCCAGCTCCAGCCAGCCAGCCAGCCGCAGCCAGCTGCAGCCAGCTGCAGCCAGCTGCAGCCAGCTCCAGCCAGCTCCAGCCAGCTCCAGCCAGCTCCAGCCAGCTCCAGCCAGCTCCAGCCAGCTCCAGCCAGCTCCAGCCAGCTCCAGCCAGCCAGCCAGGCAGCCAGGCAAGTAGGCTAAGTCGCAACCACACGTTTTAAGGTGCCCTCTCACCCACACATGGAATGTCGGCTTGTGAAAACTACTTGGCGCATAGAACCCTTGCCTCAAACTGGAGGAGGGCCTGCGTCTCGCCGATCACTTTGAGTCGCTGGCCTTACAATCTGAGTCGCAAAAAATGCCCGAACCGGGCCAAAATGGCCACTAAGCGCGCACCCTTTGAGCATCCGTATTTGGCCTTCAGAAACTCCACCACTCCTGGCATCGATGACTTCCCGACAGCAACTTGCTCGGGTTTGCATGGCTAGTGCTGTATTGCAGAGAGGCCAAACCCCTCGCACGGCCGGGCTTTTGTTCATCGACAGTCGCTAGACTCAAGGGCTCCAAACCTCAGGGTGAAACTGCTATGACAGCTGTCTACCTGAGCTTCCATTCGGAAGTCGCAGGCTGTAATGGCCCCATTGTCTGGAACCGGCTCGTGTGCGCAGCCAACGTGAGGAAAAAACAGAGAAACTGTCAGCTGTTTGCACCTCAAATCATGCATCAGGGGCACCTTGCGGCAAATCGAGGATTCTTGACCTGCGTTGCAATAGTTTAAACTGTCTAGATTTGCCGACCGCGCCCTTGCGAGGCTCATGCGACAAGAAAACTCTCTGAACACTGCAGCTCGGTGAGTGAGTGCAACAACGGAAAGAGCATGTCCACGCTTGTCGCATTCTATGATCTCTAAGCTATGCTTCTGCATTATGATCGATGATCGAAGCCACCAATTCCCTCAGCCGAATTTCTGGGACCCTGAGCCTGAGGCCCTGAGGTCTGGCACTCCCCGAACTCCCCGAGCTCAGGGGTTGGTCATCAAGGCTTCTGGCTTGAGCTCCTCCACCAGCACGCAAGTTATGATCACCAAGACGTACAGCACCGCCATGCAGGCGCCCAGCAACTTGTTCAGCTTCCAGCCGCTCAGCATGATGCTGACCACGGTGCCGAAGACCATCGAGAGCAGCAAAACCGTATAGAAGAGCAGGAAAGGTGACCTGGCAAATCGGATCGGCACATCGATTTGCAAAACTCGAGCTTGGTCCTTTTGCCTTGATTTGATCTGCACTATCTTTCTGTCAAGTCGAGCAGGGAAACAGCACGGGCTGTTAGAAACACCACGCTTGCTGCGTCTTTGCTGAGCAACTTGGTTAACTTCCACAGCTAGGACTGTGCCGGGTCCCATTCACCAACAGCTTGGTTTCAGTAGCCATCAGGTCGCGCGATGGCATCCTGCCTGATGGGGACACCCTTCCAATCCGGGTCGGCAGACTCAATCGCGTTCTTCAGCAGCCACCCGGCAGGGAGCCCAACCTGGGCTGCCCAGTTTTTGCAAGCGATCCAGGTTCGCTACAAGTCCGTTCCCCCGCTCATGAGGGCTTGGGGCACAAGAAGCATGCTAGGGTCACCATCTTTGCTAACAATGCGACACACTGAGAGGCAGTGAAGGGGCCATGGTTGCTGCACGACGCGCAAAACCGCTTCATTCAGATTAGCTGCCAGAATGTCGAAAATGTTGGAGCCAACTGATGAGCTGACGGCCATATCAGCCTGACCTTCAGTGCGAGGCTCCCGTGCCCGCCATGAAGGACATGCTGTGGACAAACGGTGGATACAACCGAACTGCCTGGAGCCTCTGGGTTTGGCTCAGTCGAGATCGGGAATCGGGGCCGGGCCTTTTCGGGCTACAGCCATTGAGCTGACCGCATCCGGGATGGACGTCGCAGCTGCCAAGAAGGTCAAGCCGGAGATGATCGTCGGGACCTCGCAAGCAGGCAAACCAACTCTAAACCATGGGAGTCACAACAACCCGGTATGAAAATTGACCCCACGCCAAATAGCAATAATAACTATGAATAAATCAAGAGGGCGGCACCCGTGTATGGTTGGGACTGTCTCCGAATCTTCACGGGTTTATTATGCTTCAGGTGCTTACGCGATCGGAAGCGATCCGCGTGTGCTGGCTCGAGTTGGTCAAACCAAGGGCCGCACGCCAATGACAGCGGCCACCTTGGTGCGCAGTATTTCTCTGGACGCGGCTTCCAGCACAAGGACATGGCCTTTGGGCCAAATGAAACCTGGACTAAAACCTGCGGTCCCCTGGTTGAATTTTCACCCACACCCACATGAACTCCCGGATTTCTGCGCTTGGGCACCGTCTCCGTCCACCAGACAAGCAGGAAGGCGAAGCAGCCAATCCACAAGAGGGAAAGGAAGAAGGTCACCATGTACAGCTTTGACCCCTTGGAAGGCCAGGGCCTCAGGCGCGGAGGGATGCGTGGCTCCGCGCGGACGGAGACAGACGGAGACTCCCACGACAGGCGCACGCCTAGGGTCCTCACAGTGTGAAGTAAATACAGGCGTAGAGAGGAAGGCACAAAGCCCAAATGATGAGATTCACCACGCCCTCCGGTTTCTCCATAAAATCCTCCGGCTCATCGTCCTCGGGCTGAAGTAGATGAATCGCGGTTCCCTTCACTGTCAGTTTGGCTGAAGTACGTACAGCTAGTTTCCTCAAATGTCCGACCATGGACTCCGGATGCCCCAACAAGGGGGCTTTACTTTCTTACCTTGTGGCTTAGCTGGGAGCTTGCCTTTGAGGGAGCTACACTATGACAATGCTGCCAGCGAGGGTCATCTTCGTCATCGTCCCCGTCTTCGTTGCTGATCCCGTCCTCCTCTGCAGTTCCACTTGGACTTGGGAATGGAAGTTCAGAACCGCCTATTTGAACTTTCGCACACACAAACAAAAACAACATCACAAGGAAACGTGATTTGTTTTTGCGGAAGGGCCCCAAACCATCTAACAGCACGCCACAGGAGTGGCTCCCATCTCTGTGACTGTGTGGTCCTTGGCCTGAGGCTGCGCTTCCTTCTCTTTATCCTTTGCCAAATCCTCCGGCTCCTGCTCATCGTCCGGAGGATTGCCCTTTATGACAACCTTGTCCGGCTCCATGAAGTTGTCCTATGCTGCGATCAAGCCATTTGTTGGTTAAATGGAAATCACAGTGTCCAAACTCGAGGGGTGGGGCCAGGCTGCCGCCATCTTACAAGGCTGTGCAACAATTTCACACATCAAGCATAAGGGAACCCCATAGTGCGCCACACTGATCGCTGCTCATCATTCAAGCAGTGCACCACCCTACCCAACACCATGCCCCCAGTTACCTTGCACCGCATATGTCATATTCCCAGACTTCAAAGGCCTTCGCATGCATGCTCGGTGATCTGTTGTTGGCGCTTACCAGAAACCCTTCGCCCAAACTCTCCAGTCCTTGGCAGGCTTGGGTGGCTCATCGGACTTCTGGGCTGCTGCTTCCTGTGACTTGGTGTTCTCTGGCTCCACCTTCCCGCTCGCCATCCGCTGCTCCTGTAGCTTCAAATCCAACTACTTGGCGTGCCGGCAAATTTTTCTCGCTCGGGTTGCCATGCGCCCACTGCTCTCCCCGGAAGTCAAAACTTATCGAGTGGGCGAATGCGGGACGAAAGAGCGAACGCGATGCCGGTCGGGTCCTGCACATACTCCCTGAGCTCCTTGTTCAACGGCGTGCCTGTAACTTGGTACCTTACAGGAATGCATCGCCCCCCCTCAAACCTTCTCAGCATGCAAAGGCGTGGTAGGCGTGTGGTTTCTATGCGCCAAGTCACGCCCACACGTTGACTGGCCGGTTTACCAGCATAAAGAGCACGTACACGATGTACAAGGCAAACAGCACTGCGGCCTGAGTTCAACATATCCATCTCCATTCGAAAGCCGGAAACATCGCGCCTCCCATGCGAGCACGCGCTGGTCAGACACGAAATATGCCAAGAGCCCCAGGGAAATGATGTAGTAGGAGCAGTCCTAGGCATTGATCGCAATTGACAGCCCCTAGCGAGCCTGAGATGTGTCACTTGCCGGGAAGCTCTGAACAAAGGCCACCAGGTCAGATCGATATTTCCTTTTGCAACGTAGCCGCACCTGGGCAAAAAAGATGAGATGTCGGCCCTGCTCTACAGCTCACCACGATTCAGCACCCATTCTGCCGGCCGAGGACAGCGCAATCCAATGACAAACAAAATGTTGAACACCGCTGATCCCACAATGGTTCCGAAGCCAATATCGTTATTGGCCTTGGCACAGGTTGGAAGTGACGAAGTGTGGCTGGCAGTGGCGATGAATGGGCAGGAAACACAATGCCATCTTGCGTGACAGGATGCGATGGTGGCTCCGATGAGGGATGTGAATAGCTCTGGGGCAGATCCCCCGGCGGCCATCCAGGTAGCCTTCAAGATCCCACACGCAACATACCATCATGCCTTCTCTACCAGCCGTTCGCAACAAGATCCAACGGTGTTTGGGCACCACGTTGCAACCAGGCCGCTCCGGCCACATCTGGTGTGAGGCTCCAGGCATCACAAAGGAGGTCGATCGAACCAGCAAAGTAAACATCGCATACAGTGTTGAGCCCAATCACCATGTAGGCCTTGAATACTTGAACACATGCCTGAACCAGCCCATGAGCACTCCCATCCTGTGTGCATCAACTAAGCTTCCAGCCATTCCGACAACATGAAACAGTGCAAGGAACTTCTTGCCTGTCGCCGCAGGAACAAAGCCGAACCGGTTTCTATCACGCTTCTTTGCTTGATACACGTGAGGGTCAATGTGGCAGACCGGCCTAGCGGCTCCTCGAAGAAGGGCTCTTCAAGAAGCAAGTCTGGAGGGTACAAACTTGAAGGTTCCTCCTCGGCCCGCACTACGAACAACCCAAAACACAACAAGACAAGGGCAACGGGGGGAGGCAAAGAAACCGGTGACTCTGTGAGGAAGTCTCACCGTGCCCGCGCAGCTAAATGGATGGGATCTTAAATTTTAACGCTCCGAGCCCGTCTTCCCGGTGCGCTCTGCAACCTTCCCACACAAGTCTCCTGTTCTGTCTCGTTCAGTCTTCGCGGCACACCTGACAAAAGCGAGCGTCACGATTGCTCAACACAGTCCGTGCAAATTCCCCCGTCAAGGCCTGCTTTTTCACTGGAATGGTGGGCCCAGTCCTGGCTCCAATGTTGGCATCGAATTCCGAGCCAGCATGTCAAATGCACTTGCCACACGCAACACACACAAACACACGCACATACACATGCCTTCGATTGTCAATGGCCATCAGGCCGACTCACAGCCACTCACTCACATCAAGTGTGTGCTATATGAGTCCTTTGCCAGAAAAAGAAGGCCCAGGGAA